GGGAAAGATGGAGGGCCCAAGGAGAAGGGGACGACAGAGGACGAGATGGTGGGACAGTGTTCTCGAAGCTACCAGCATGAGTTTGACCAAACTGCGGGAGGCAGTGGAAGACAGGAGGGCCTGGCGTGCTCTGGTCCAGGGGGTCATAAAGAGGCGGACGCGACTCAACGACTAAACAACAACAACAATGGAGGTTCTGGGGGTCTTCCGCAAGCAAGGCAGGTGCTGTGTTGCTTGTCCGAGGCACAGAAGGGGGGAAACTTCGGTTCTCGGGGTGTCGCTGAACTACAACTCCCATCAGCCTCTACCTCTCTTTTAAATCAGAACCAGTGAAGGCGGTGAAGGTCCTGTGTGAGTGCCTGGAGGCGGTTGGAGGATGGATGGCGGCTAACAGATTAAGGCTGAATCCTGGCAAAGGAGAAGTAATGTTCTTGGGGGACAAGGGGCGGGCGGGTGTGGGGGATTCCCTGGTCCTGAATGGGGCAACTGTGCCCCTGAAGGACCAGGTGCGCAGCCTGGGAGTCATTCTGGACTCCCAGAGGTCCATGGAGGTGCAGGTCAATTAAGTGTTTTAAAATTGTTGTTAGCTGCCCTGAGCCTGGTTTTTGAACCAGGAAGGGCGGGGTATAAATAATTTTATTACAGTGGTGCCTCGCAAGACGAAATTAATTCGTTCCGCAAGTTTTTTCTTCTTGCGAGTTTTTCGTCTTGCGATGCACGGTTTCCCATAGGAATGCATTGAAAATCAATTAATGCGTTCCTATGGAAACCGACTTCAGACCAGGTCCGGGGACAATCTGTCCCCCGACCTCTTCTGAAGGCTGGGGGGGGGCGAAAGTCTTTGCTCCCCCCCCCCACGGCAGCATTTTAAATTTTTTAGAAGAGGTCCTGGACCTCTTCTGAAGGCTGGCGGGGGGCGAAAAGATTTGTCCCCCCTGCCTGCCTGCCTTTAAAAGCCCTCCCGGGTTTCTCCGCTCCCCCGGGAGGGCTTTTAAAGGCAGGCAGGCAGGCAGGGGGGACAAAGATTTTCGCCCCCCGCCAGCCTTCAGAAGGCTGGGGGGGGCGAAAGTCTTTGCTGCCCCCCCCCACGGCAGCATTTTAAAATCGCCCCGGACAGCGGAGGACTTTTCTGCTGTCCGGGGCGATTTAAAAGCCCTCCCGGGAAGGCAGCCAGGGGGGACAAAGATTTTCGCCCCCCGCCAGCCTTCCCCTCTTTTGAAGCAAGGGGCGGCAACGGGGAGAAGATCGCTTCTCCCCGTTGCCACCCCTTGCTTCAAAAGGGGTCCGGGGAGAGAGGGGAAGGCGCACGCCTTTCCCTCTGTCCCCTCTTTTGAAGCAAGGGGCGGCAACGGGGAGAAGATCGCTTCTCCGCGTTGCCGCCCCTTGCTTCAAAAGAGGTCCGGGGAGAAAGGGGAAGACGCCAGCATTTTAAAAAACCTCGGGACAGCGGGGGACTTCTCCGCTGTCCGGGGCGAATTTAAAATGCTGGCGGGCGGCAGCGAAGCCTTCGCTGCCGCCCGCCAGCATTTTAAAAAAACCTCGGGACAAAGGAGAAGTCCCCCGCTGTCCCGGGGTTTTTTTAAATGCTGCTGGGCGGCAGCGCTGCCGCCCGGCAGCATTTTAAAATCGCCCCGGACAGCGGAGAAGTCCTCCGCTGTCCCGGGGTTTTTAAAAAACCTCTCCGCCCCCGCCAGGCCTCAGAGCAGCCTTCCGAAGCCTGGCGGCGGGAGGAGGTCCGAGGACAGTGGGCAAGACGCCCTGTCCCGGAGATTTCCCTACCATAGGGAAATTCGTTTTGCGAAGCGTCTCCAAAATGGAAAAACCTTTCGTCTAGCGGGTTTTCCGTCTTGCGAGGCGTTCGTCTTGCGGGGTACCACTGTATTATTATTATTATTATTATTATTATTATTATTATTATTATTAATCACTGAGCAGGGTATCTGAGCCCCGGTTTCCCCCATGACACTCTGACCGCTACCCCACACTGCCTCTCCGCGACTTACCTCTCTTCAGCCTGGAGTTTGTCCTGAAGCTCTTGAATGCGCGATTCCAGCTGGGAGACGTTGGCGCTGGGTTTCTGGAGGACTTCGCTGCTGGCGAGGCGGCTTTTCAAGTCTTTGTTCTGGAAAGAGAGATTTGGAAGTGGGGATATTTAGAGAGGAAATGACCAGTGGCCAGGGACAAGTTCCCGCATGACCTGTATTAAGTTGTGGGTGAACATATCAGACGACACAGCGATTCTTCAAACAGCTCTTGTTTATTCACAGGCCAGAACAGAACTGAACTGAAGGGTTCAGCCAGCCTGCTTATATAGAGCTCCACTACAACGCAACAGTAACCACTTTCTGTAACTATCCAATCACTGAACGTCACTTTCAATCCCTTATTTGCATATGTGGACCTGAGTGAAAACTATCTACAGTATCCCCCTGCTGGCCCAGGGTGAGAACTTCAGTATATAACAATCTAGAAGGGACTTCTGTGGCTAGGATTGCCACCTTTGCTCCGGCAAAACACTCTCTACAATATCCTTTTTGAGATGAGGGGACCAGCCTTTCAGAAGGTCTTTGCATGCATGGGGAAACTGAGGCAGAAAAGGACTGGAGAACACAGTGCTCTGATCTTCATTGGACCAATACTTTCATTAAAAGCCTCTTGCAGGATTAAGAAACCGGAAGCCTTTCTACTTGGAATAATAGGATTAGAATTGCCCCAAAATAGATGGTAGATTGTTTTCGTATGCCACCACAGCGGCAAGACTTTTACTGGCCAAAAACTGGAAATCGCAAGAGACACCAACAGTAGAAGAATGGCAGGTGAAGATGCTGGACTTTTCGGAGCTGGCCGATCGGACTGGAAGAATCCGCGACCAGAAAGAAGAGGCGACACAAGAGGACTGGAAGAAATTCAAAGAATAGCTAGCTAAATATTGTAATGTAAGATCAATAGAAAATTCCTGGAAGTAACAAATAGGCTTAGGAGCAGAATAAGAATATATGTCAGTAAATATTTTGGATTTCAGTATTAATAAAGGAGAAGAAATTAAATGAAAGAAGTTAATATTATTAGAAATAAGAATTTGGAGAACTGCTAAACAGGCGATATAATGAAATTCAGTTAGAGGGGATTTGAGGAAGTCAGTTATTAATGTAATGAAATTAGGAATTTGAAGTAATAATTTTTCTTTGTGCTATTTTTTGTTGTTGTGTGTTTTTTGTAAGGTTTTTCTTTTTACGTGATAAATGCGAAAATCAATAAAAAAAATTGGGGGAAAAATGCCTCTTTCAGGCGGCTTCTGGTTGAGTCAGCAACTTGGGGTTATGAGCAACAAGATGAAGAGCAAACACACACACACACACACACACACACAAACTCCGGCTGCACAGGGTTATGTAATGTCCCGGGCCGGGCTGAACAAAATTCCCCTCCCCGCTTCAGAAAGCAGGAATTTTGATTAGCAGAGTTACATAACAGCAATAATTGCTTTCCCCTTGCTTTGCAGTGAAGCCAAGCTGGGTGATGGTGGGAGGCCTTGTTTAGCTGCCTTTCTTTATGAAAGAGAGAGAGAGCGGCGCGCAAAGCCTCAGGAGGAATGCAAAAAAGAGCTCCTGTTCTCTCTCATCTGTGTTCAGACATGTTTTGGGCCACAGATCCCAAGCAGTAGCACAGACAGGGAAGCGCAGCCCCGAGAGACCTCTGCCAAATCCCTTAGAAATCCGGTTTTTGTTTAATGGGTCCTGAATGGGGTAACTGTGCCCCTGAAGGACCAGGTGCGCGGCCTGCGAGTCATTTTGGACTCACAGCTGTCCATGGAGGCGCAGGTCAAATCTGTGTCCAGGGCAGCTGTTTACCAGCTCCATCTGGTACGCAGGATGAGACCCTTCCTGCCCACAGACTGTCTGGCCAGAGTGGCGCATGCTCTGGTTATCTCCCGCTTGGACTCCTGCAATGCGCTCTACGTGGGGCTACCTTTGAAGGTGACCCAGAAACTGCAATTAATCCAGAATGTGGCAGCTAGACTGGTGACTGGGAGCGGCCGCCGGGACCACATAACACCGGTTCTAAGAGATCTGCATTGGCTCCCAGTACGTTTCCAAGCACAATTCAAAGTACTGGTGCTGACCTTTAAACCCTAAACGGCCTCGGTCCTGTATACCTGATGGAGCGTTTCCACCCCCATCATTTAGCCCGGACACTGAGATCCAGCGCTGATTGCCTTCTGGCGGTTCCCTCCCTGCGAGAAGTGAGGTTACAGGGAACCAGGCAGAGGGCCTTCTCGGTAGTGGCGCCCGCCCTGTGGAACTCCCTCCCACCAGATGTCAAGGCAATAAGCAGCTATCCTATCTTTAAAAGACATCTGAAGGCAGCCCTGTTTAGGAAAGTTTTTAATATTTAACGCTGTATTGTTTTTAATACTTGATTGGGAGCCGCCCAGAGTGGCTGGGGAAACTCAGCCAGATGGGCGGGGTATAAATAATAAATTATTATTGTTATTATAAGAGGAAGAGGAAAGAGGCTAGTCCTCATGGTGGCCGAGAAAAACGCAGGGGCCTATCGGAAAGAGGCTTTGTTTCAGGCCGCAAAGCAACCTGAGTCTTGGGCTAAAACTCTACGGCTGGTGCAAAAGGATAGCAGGCAGGCAGGCTGGACTATTAGGGAAATGGTAATATGAATAATAATCCTAAATTAACTGCAGTGAAATGAGGACCCCCTGCAAAAATTGACACCGCAGCAGGCAAGCTTCCCTGTTCCACAGAACGCCTCTCCGGGCGATCCCTCCCTTTCTGAACATCCAGAAATGAAGAAGCGCTCTGCTGAGCTCAGAGGCTTGCTCACCGCTCTGCAATGTTTCGAAACAAACCCGTCCTGTTGCTGCTTAAAACTAGGAGTAATGTAATGCGTTAATTAGTAAGCGTTTGGTCATTTGGCCCAATTAAGGGCCAAACAAGGCACGAGCCTGTTCACGCCCTTGTCTTCCTTCCCCGGGGACGAAGAGGGAGGGCTCCGAGTGCGAGAAAACGGGGCGGCGAGGAACAGGCTCAAATATCCCCTTCCTTGCTCCCCAAATTCAGTTTTATTCCTCACATAGAATAGTAGAAGTATAGAGTCTGGAGGAACTCTAGCCGAATCCCCCGCAATGTCTTTTTTAAAAGGCCCAGGTGTGAATGTGGCCCCCAGACCCCTTCCCTTGGCCCCTGGGACTCTCATAAAGGGTGGAGAAAGCAGTTCAGAGCATGCAATGCCTGCCACCAATTTGCTTTTCGCTATCTAATGTGGCTTTAACTGATGTCGCTTAAGTTAATCACTGTGCTTCCACCATCCACAGATCTCGCGGTGTGAGAGGGGGTGGTTTAATAAATGCAATTTTAAAATCCAGTAAAATTCCAGGAAGGAAAGGGATCGGAAGCACCCAGCCGCACCCCTTGCAACTTTTTCATAAAAGGTAAAGGGACCCCTGACCATTAGGTCCAGTCGTGACCGACTCTGGGGTTGCGGCGCTCATCTTGCTTTATTGGCCGAGGGAGCCGGCTTGCAGCTTCCGGGTCATGTGGCCAGCAGGACTAAGCCGCTTCTGGCAAACCAGAGCAGCGCACGGAAACTCCGTTTACCTTCCCGCCGGAGCGGTACCTATTTATCTACTTGCACTTTTGACGTGCTTTTGAACTACTAGGTTGGCAGGAGCAGGGACCGAGCAACGGGAGCTCACCCCGTCATGGGGATTTGAACCGCCAACCTTCTGATCAGCAAGCCCTAGGCTCTGTGGTTTAACTCACAGCGCCACCCACGTCCCTTGCAACTTTTTCATAAAGGTAAAGGTAAAGGTACCCCTGCCCGTACGGGCCAGTCTTGACAGACTCTGGGGTTGTGCGCCCATCTCACTTAAGAGGCCGGGGGCCAGCCTGTCCGCAGACACTTCCGGGTCACGTGGCCAGCGTGACAAAGCTGCATCTGGCGAGCCAGCGCAGCACACGGAATGCCGTTTACCTTCCCGCCGGTAAGCGGTCCCTATTTATCTACTTGCACCCGGGGGTGCTTTCGAACTGCTAGGTTGGCAGGCGCTGGGACCGAGCAACGGGAGCGCACCCCGCCGTGGGGATTCAAGCCGCTGACCTTTCGATCAGCAAGCCCTAGGCGCTGAGGCTTTTACCCACAGCGCCACCCGCGTCCCTACTTTTTCATACTTTGGCTCAAATGCAAGAACTTAAAAAAACCAAAACTCTTTGCTTGGTAGCTGTGATTCCTGGATTGGACTAAATGGCTCCTGAGGTTCCTTCCAACTGCACAATTCTATGATTCTGCAGGCACTATTAGTCATACACAAGAGTAGACCCATTTGAAACTAATGGGCCGAGTGACTCATGTCTATTAATGTCAATCGGCCTCCTCGGAACATGACTAACACTATAAAATCCTACGGCTGCAGGCCTCTTCCCATACAACCCGGAGCAGAGTGGAAGTTTATGCAAGAAAGCTTCTGATCTGTCGCTTTAAAAAACAAACAAGAGCCACCCCACAACTGCTGGTTTTCGGCGCTGTAAGGAAGCTTCCATTTCCCCCCAACCCACAAAAAGGAATGTTGGGAACTATAGTTTGAGGGTGCTGGGAACTGTAGCTTTGCAAGTTCCCAGGATCCTCTGGGTGGAAAGAATGTGCTCTGAATGTATGGCACGTAGGCCAGTCTGAAATTTGTGGCTCTCCAGGGCTCCAACTCCCAGCAACCCCTGGGGTTGCTGGGAGTTGTAGTCCGATGGCGCCCAGAGGACTGCAGATGTTGTAGTCCCGTCCCTGTTGTGAAAGAAGCAGGCTTCACACACACAGGCAAGACGTAGCTCAGCTTCTCGTAAACCTGGGGGCCTGGGAGAGGAAAGTCTGTTTGCAAAGGACAATTGCAGGGGGTTGGTTTGAATGACCTTGTGGGGTCCCTTCCAGCTCTGCAATTCTACAATAAAGGTCTCTACGGGGAACGCTCCGAGCCGCACGTGGCCGGCGTCCAAGCAGTGTCGCCGGGGCTGTTTTCGCCCTCGTTAATTGCGCGGCAACAGCAGCTCGTTTATTGAAATGACTCGGGGGGGGTGGATTTTGAAATGGTGCAAATTACATAACCTGTCTTGTCACCCCCCACACACACCCGCTACAAGCCCAGACAGGCAGGGCTCCTGCAGACGCAGAAGGCAGATCTAGTGGGGAAAGAGACTGCTGGGGAAGTTTCCAGGTCCAAACCCGCTTCCGAACAACAACTGCTTTGAACAGTTGAGGACAGGATCACACTTCAAAACAACCTTGACAGATTAGAGAACTGGGCCAAAACAAACAAGATGAACTTTAACAGGGAGAAATGTAAAGTATTGCACTTGGGCAAAAAAAATGAGAGGCACAAATACAAGATGGGGGACACCTGGCTTGAGAGCAGTACATGTGAAAAGGATCTAGGAGTCTTGGTTGACCACAAACTTGACATGAGCCAACAGTGTGATGCGGCAGCTAAAAAAGCCAATGCAATTCTGGGCCTCGTCAATAGGAGTATAGCATCTAGATCAAGGGAAGTAATAGTGCCACTGTATTCTGCTCTGGTCAGACCTCACCTGGAGTACTGTGTCCAGTTCTGGGCACCACAGTTCAAGAAGGACACTGACAAACTGGAACGTGTCCAGAGGAGGGCAACCCAAATGGTCAAAGGCCTGGAAACGATGCCTTATGAGGAACGGCTAAGGGAGCTGGGCATGTTTAGCCTGGAGAAGAGGAGGTGAAGGGGTGATATGATAGCCATGTTCAAATATATAAAAGGATGTCATATAGAGGAGGGAGAAAGGCTGTTTTCTGCTGCTCCAGAGAAGCGGACACGGAGCAATGGATCCAAACTACAAGAAAGAAGATTCCACCTAAACATTAGGAAGAACTTCCTGACAGTAAGAGCTGTTTGACAGTGGAATTTGCTGCCAAGGAGTGTGGTGGAGTCTCCTTCTTTGGAGGTCTTTAAGCAGAGGCTTGACAACCATATGTCAGGAGTGCTCTGATGGTGTTTCCTGCTTGGCAGGGGGTTGGACTCGATGGCCCTTGTGGTCTCTTCCAACTCTAGGATTCTATGAACAGAGCCTGAACCTCCTTCCACCGTCCGAATGCCAGTTGGGGGGCAAATATTAAACCACTCTGGGAATTTCAGCTCTGTGAGGGGGAATAGGGAGAGAGGGGTCTCCTAGCAAACCACAGCTGCCAATTTTATTTTATTTTTGAATTCTCATCTTTATTTTAAGTATTAAATCCCTCCACCACGAAAGAACCCCAAAAAAAAAAAAAAGAGAAAGCAAATCACCTCACATACAAATCATAAAATTCTTCCATAAATTGTGACTTCCCTAATCCTCAATATGGGTCCATCATTACCTTGTTGACTGCACATTTTTTAACTTATCGTTAATTGTTCGTATTCATGGTAGAATATATCTTTGCAGAAGTTATTCAAACATGTCAGAGATTTTACCTGAGAAAATATCATTTGAATAAATCCCGTTCTTTATTAAACTCTTGGTTTGTTTGATTCCTAATTTTCCCTGTCATCTTTGCCAATTCTACATATTCAAAGAACTTCGCCTGCCATTCCAATTTAGTTTGGATTTTATCTCCCTTCCACCATCTGGCGCTGCCAAAATTATTTGAAGGGGGAGGCAAAGCATTCTCTATTTCTGGTGTGAACTTGGGGATCAGAAGGATTAGAAAGAGAAGTAACAATCGCCAGAATATCGTTTTGGGGTGAGACATGGGCTGGATAAAAAGACACCGGACTTTAAAATCAAAATCAATAAATAAACCAGCCCCAAGTCACCACCATTATAAGTTTCTGGGGGTCTAAGTAGACCACAAGCTGAACATGAGTCAACCGTGTGATGCAGCAGCAAAAAAGACCAATGCTATTCTAGGCTGCATCAACAGAAGTCTAGAGTCCAGATCAAGGGAAGTCATAGTCCCTCTAGTAGTGATGTATGGAAGTGAGAGCTGGACCATCAAGAAGGCTGATCGCCGAAGAATTGATGCTTTTGAATTCTGGTGCTGGAGGAGACTCTTGAGAGTCCCATGGACTGCAAGAAGATCAAACCTCTCCATTCTGGAGGAAATCAGCCCTGAGTGCTCACTGGAAGGACAGATCCTGAAGCTGAGGCTCCAGACTTTGGCCACCTCATGAGAAGAGAAGACTCCCTGGAAAGACCCTGATGCTGGGAAAGATGGAGGGCACAAGGAGAAGGGGACGACAGAGGACGAGATGGTGGGACAGTGTTCTCAAAGAGACCAGCATGAGGGAGACAGTGGAAGACAGGAGTGCCTGGCATGCTCTGGTCCAGGGGGTCACGAAGAGGTGGACACGACTAAACAAAAACAAGGGTGCTGAGAGTTCTTAGGAGATCTCTGTTCCCCCTTCTCAGAGCTACAATTCCCAGAGGTCAGACCCCACCTGGAATCCTGTGTCCAGTTCTGGGCGCCACAATTTAAGAAGGATGTTGACAAGCTGGAAGGTGTGCAGAGGAGGGTGACCAAGATGATCAAGGGCCTGGAAACTAAGCCTGATGAGGAACGGTTGAAGGAGCTGGGTACGTTTAAGCCTGGAAAAGAGGAGACTGAGAGGAGATTTGAGAGCCACCTTCAAATATCTCAAGGGCTACTGCATGGAAGATGGAGCAAGCTTGTTTTCTCCTGCTCTGGAGGGTAGGACTCGAATCCATGGCTTCAAGTTCCAAGAAAGGAGATTCCATCTAACATCAGGAACAGCTTCCTGACAGTAAGAGCTGTTTGGCAGTGGAACGGGCTCCTTCAGGAAGCTGTGGACTCTCCATCCTTTGGGTGGTGGCGGAGCAGAATCAGCCGGTTATTATCTGTATAACTTTAAAATCATATGCGGTGGCAGCGGGAGGAGGAAAGTGGGAGGATCCCAGCAGCCTCTGATCGCTGAGTCGGCAAAGAGAAGATGCAGACCTGACCGAACACGCCAGCGGCAGCCTCACCTGTCTTTCCAGCGAGATCTTATCACACTCCAGGTCCTGCCTCACGGAGCGCTCTTGAAGGAGTTCCGCCCGCAGCTGGTCAATCTGGAGGGAGACAGAGATGATGATGATGGTGATGATGATTATTACCCCGCCTTCCCCGGGCACAGGGTAGCTAACACCAGTAAAATCACAGTAAAATCATAATGTGGGGGCGGGGACCCAATTTAAAATACAGGTTAAAATGCAAATTATAATGCAGCCTCATTTTAAAAACAGCCCATAGATCAAAAGCATAAGGTTTTGATAGGGGACGGGGTTGTCAGCAGAAGACCACTATTAGAGGCCTTACAACTCAATAGGCTGAATTCTATGCTACCAACGCTTCAGGACCTGCTTTCGGACAGGAATGATCAAATTACTTGAATAGTGGCTGAATTTTTGAGTGCTGTCCATGTAGAAAGACTGGGCCATTATGAAGAGATTTAGTGGTTCTCAATTGATCGGTGATGTGGTAGTGTTGTGTTGTATTATTTATGCAAATCGATTTCCTCTGGAGTTAAAGATCTGACTGGGACAAACCTTGTTACGCTGAGCTCGTATTTCGCACAATTTGTATACGCCTGAGTAGGGTTAGCATTGATACAACCCAAAGATTTTATTTTCAAAGTCGTTGAATACTTATCTATTTATTGCACTGATGCACCAAGGGACAGAGGGTTCCCTAACAACGTTCGGCGCTTGTAGCAAACTACAGTTTCCGGGGTTCCTGGAGTGGGGAGCTGTGGCTGTTTAAGGCGGTATAATAAAAGCTATTTAAATGGATGTGTGATTACAGCCTCCCTAAGGGCAGTTTGACAATGGACAGGAGCGGGCCTCCCAAAGAATTCTGGGAGTTGTAGTCTGTGCTGCCGAGAGACCCCGAATTCCCTCGCAGGGTTACAATTCTCAGAGCCCTCTTCGCAGGGAACTATGGGAAGTGTAGTTCCATGAGGCACCCCCAACCTTCGGCCCTCCAGATGTTTTGGACTACAATTCCCATCATCCCTGACCACTGGTCCTGTTAGCTAGGGATCATGGGAGTTGTAGGCCAAAACATCTGGAGGGCCGCAGGTTGGGGGTGACTGGGATATTCTAACAACTCTCAGCACCCTCAACAAACTACACTTCCCAGAATTCCTTGGGGTTTAAAGTGGCACAGCGCTGCTTTAGACGCAGCCCGCGTTTTGCAAGCAGCCAAGATGTCGACAGGCGCCAGCTGCCCCACCTGGTCTCTCGTGCGGTTGATCCTCTCCGTCAAGAGTTCCACCGTGTTCCTTTCCTCGTCCAGCTCCACTTCGAGGCGTTTCGATTTGTCCTGAAAAGCCATTGTACGCGTTTAATCAAACGTTATCTGTTATCCCGCCCATGAGTGCAGATATCATTCAGGCAATGACATAAAGCACTGAGTTGGCTTCAGAAATGTCACTGAAGCTTTGGAACTGTGTGGGAAAAGGCCACAATAAAATGTTATTTGCAGGGGGAGAAACCCAATCCTGAGCAGAATAAAAGAAAGTATGACTTTAATAATAATCTCATTTATATACCAACTTTTCCTCCAAGGAGCTAATTTTTAAATTGTATTTTAACCCGTATTTTAAATTGGTTTTCCTCCCCTATTATGTTTTTATTGTAATTTTACTGGTGTTAGCTGCCCTGAGCCCAGCTCTGGCCAGGGTATAAATAAAATTATTATTATTATTATTATTATTATTATTATGATTATTATTGGCTTCTTGTGAGCTTCCTGGCTGTGGACAGAGATTTGAATCTTACAACCCTAACCACCTCTAGCTAGTGGGGTGCAGTGGCCAGAGTGTGGGACGACCACCTGGGAGACCAGGTTCCAAATCCCCACTCGGCCGTGAAGCTCTCACTGGGTGACCTTGGGCCAACCCGCAGTCTCTCAGCCTGGCATTACAGGGCTGCTGAGAAGAGAACATCAGCAGAGGGAAGAATTCTACAAGCCACCTTGAGCTCCCTGGAGGAAAGGTAAAGGGACCCCTGACCATTAGGTCCAGTCGTGGCTGACTCTGGGGTAGCGGCGCTCATCTCGCTTTCCTGGCCGAGGGAGCCAGCGTACAGCTTCTGGGTCATGTGGCCAGCAGGACTAAGCCGCTTCTGGCGAAACCAGAGCAGTGCACGGAAACGCCGTTTACCTTCCCGCCGGAGCGGTACCTATTGATCTACTTGCACTTTGACGTGCTTTCGAACTGCTAGGTGGGGAGGAGCAGGGACTGAGCAACGGGAGCTCACCCTGTCGCGGGGATTCAAACTGCCAACCTTCTGATCAGAAAAAAACAAAACCATCAGACCGCTGGGTTTAATTTCTGCCTGTTTAAACTTGGAAAATAGGTTTTTGCCGTGGTTGTTCTACAAAAAAAAAAAAAGCGCTTCATGTGGAAAAATGCAGTGTTTGCAAACGTGTTGCAGCAGGAGGAGCTGGAAAACACATCTGTGCTGTATTGCTATTTTTAAGCACATGCAAAAATTATCAGGTTTTACCAAAATTGCTCTGTACTGGGGGTGGGGTGTTTGTAGCAGAGACAGAGGAACCAAACAGCTGTATGGGGGACAGACAGAGACTTTTTGAAAAGCAGCACTGCTGCCTCCTGCTGTTGGCTAGGAGGCATTGCATGCATGGGGGACCCAGGCCAGAAGGCAAAAAACCACATTTTTTTCTTGCTTTGACAAGGGGAGGAACCCTCCCTCGTTTCCAGTTTTCTATTCCCCTACAATTCCCAGAGTTCTCTGTGAAGGGGGAGCGATTCTTCAGCCCCATCTGGGAGCCAAATGGGGGCAGGGGGCGTCTCCCAGCAATTCTCATGACCCTTGCCAAACCACAGCTCCCAGAATCTTTTGGGGGAAGCCAAAGGCTGTTTACGAAGAGGCATTGCACCGCTTTAAACGTGTGCTGGAGCCACGGGTCTGGAGGTCTGCTGGGATTCTCAGTTCAGGAAAGAGGGAGGCAGGGGGAGGGTGGAAATGCAAACCTCCAGGGCCTTGACTTGCCGGGATCGATCATCTTGCGACCTCCGCTTGGACTCCATCTCCTGCTCCAAGTTGTGGAGGCGCTGGGCCAGCAGTTCCTTGTCCAGGACGGCGTTCTCACGCTCGGCTTGGGCGTCCTGCAGGGCTTGCTTGAGACGCATCACCTGGAAGGGAGGGAAACGGAAGCGGGTTTGCGAGGGAGTAGACCAGCATGGCTTTCTGGAGGAGTGAGAGATTCGAACCCAGGCCCTGCCTCCAACCTGGGACTTTTCCCCTTGTGGGAAACCCCCGTGACCCTCGGGTGTTGCTGGACTACATCTCCCATCATCCTTAGCTGCCAGCTGGGGCTGCTGGGAGCTGAAGTCCACACTTGCCCTACGGCCACACCGACTCTCCTGCCGGAGGCAGCCCCGGCGGAAGCCCACAAGGTGGGAACGAAAGAGGCAGCCCTCCTCATCCAGTGTGTTCCCCTAGTGTCAGAGATAGACTGCCCCTGCAGAGGGAGGTTCTGCCCCCAGCTATCGGGAGTGAATAAGGGTGCTGGATCAGGGCAAGAGGCCCATCCGGCGCCTACTGCGAAAGGTGGGGCGGAAGGCGCGGGGACCAAAGAGTAGGCGGAGGCAGTGGTTATCTCCCACTTGGACTACTGCAATGCGCTCTTTGTGGGGCTACTTTCGAAGGTGACCCGGAAACTGCAACTAATCCAGAATGCGGCAGCTGGACTGGTGACTGGGAGCGGCCGCCGAAATCACATAACACCAGCCTTGAAAGACCTACATTGGCTCCCAGTACGTTTCCGAGCAGAATTCAAAGTGTTGGTGCTGACCTTGAAAGCCTTAGCTGCCAGCTGGGGCTGCTGGGAGCTGAAGTCCACACTTGCCCTACGGCCACACTGACTCTCCTGCCGGAGACCACATAACACCGGTCTTGAAAGACCTACATTGGCTCCCAGGACATTTCCGAGCACAATTCAAAGTGTTGGTGCTGACCTTGAAAGCCCTAAACGGCCTCAGCCCAGTATACCTGAAGGAGCGTCTCCACCTCCATCGTTCTGCCTGGACATTGAGGTCCAGCTCCGAGGGCCTTCTGGCGGCTCCCTCATTGCAAGAAGTGAGGTTACAGGGAACAAGACAGAGGGCCTTCTCAGTAGTGGCGCCCTCCCTGTGGAACGCCCTCCCACCAGATGTCAAAGAGAACAACTACCAGACTTTTCGATGACATCTGAAGGCAGCCCTGTTTATGGAAGCTTTTAATGTTTGATGCATTACTGTCTTTTAATATTGTGTTGGGAGCTGCCCAGAGTGGCTGGGGAAACCCAGCCTGATGGGCGGGGTATAAATAATAAATTATTATTATATTATATTATATTATATTATATTATATTATATTATAGTGGCAATGAAAGGCAGAGCCAGCTAACTCTAGTTCCTCCCCATCCTTGTCCTTCCTGCTGAGTCTCATGGAGACGAAAGAGGAGGAAGAAGCCAGAAGCCAGCCACGGACAGCTCACCTGCCCGAGACGAATGGCCCCACCTAGCCCAGTGTCCACTGCTACCTCTGGGGTCTCGCAGCCCCCTGCTCATTCCATAGCCCCCTCCTTGAATTGTGTTCACCTCTTGATTTTGCAAGCAGAGAAAAGGGGAGCAGGGCCCTCTTCCCACCCCATCGTACCTCGTCCTGCAACCGCCCCAGGTTGTATTGCATCTTCTCCACCTCGGTGTTCCTCTCTTTGGCCTGCTTCTGGGAGTCCGTGATCTCCTTGCGCGACTTCTCCTTGTATTCCTCCAGCTGAGTCTGCAGCTTGGACAGGGCGCTGTGGGACTCTTGAGCCATCTGATCTAGCTGGAGGAGAGGAGAGGGACTCCAGGTGAAACCTCAAGGAGGATGTTTTAATCATCATCAACCTTTATTACGGTCCAGAGACCCAACAAATCGTTACAAAGCAATACACAATTCATACAGCCTACCTCCAGGTCAAGCAAGCATTTTGTTCAGAATATAGGGATTATTGGTTCTTGCAACCATGTTTTAATCATGGGCTCCTTGATCACTGCAGATGGTGACAGCAGTCACGAAATTAAAAGACGCCTGCTCCTTGGGAGAAAAGCAATGACAAACCTAGACAGCATCTTAAAAAGCAGAGACGTCACCTTGCCAACAAAGGTCCGTATAGTTAAAGCTATGGTTTCCCAGTAGTGATGTATGGAAGTGAGAGCTGGACCATAAAGAAGGCTGATCGCCGAAGAATTGATGCTTTTGAATTCTGGTGCTGGAGGAGACTCTTGAGAGTCCCATGGACTGCAAGAAGATCCAAACTCTCCATTCTGAAGGAAATCAGCCCTGAGTGCTCACTGGAAGGACAGATCCTGAAGCTGAGGCTCCAAGACTTTGGCCACCTCATGAGAAGAGAAGACTCCCTGGAAAAGACCCTGATGTTGGGAAAGATGGAGGGCACAAGGAGAAGGGGACGACAGAGGACGAGATGGTGGGACAGTGTTCTCGAAGCTACCAACATAAGGACCAGGAAGATGGTTCACACCCTTCCCAATTTCCCCCCGTCTCCAAGAAGTGGGAGGATGGCTGGCTCCCCCAATTGCCTCCTATTTCATAAGACCAGAGCAGGGATGGAGAACCTTTTGCATTTTTAATACATGTATATATACAGCTGTGGAAGAGCCATAGCTCAGTGGTAGAGCATCTAAGGTCCTCTCTAACACACACACGAAATACAGGGTCTCTGGGCATCTCTCTGCACAGCCTGACCAAGATTCTGCGTCTCTCCCTCTCAGGACCAGCGAAGGCCAAAGCATCATCTGCTGGCTGCTCCTGTCATCGCCTTGTCCACCCTTGCGGACCCTGTCACAATCCTGCTGCTCTGTTAAAGGCCCCGCCAGATCACCCGTGTCAGCTCCTTAAACCTCAGCAGAAAATGGGAGCTGGCAGCAAGGGCCTGCTGCCTAATGATCTGGCTGTCTTCTCATGGCCGGCTGGGAGCGAACGCCACCTCCCTCTACAGTGCTGCAGCAGCCAAAGAATTGAAGCTTTTGAATTCTGGCGCTGGAGGAGACTCTGGAGAGTCCCATGGACTGCAAGAAGATCAAACCTCTCCATTCTGAAGGAAATCAGCCCTGAGTGCTCACTGGAAGGACAGATCCTGAAGCTGAGGCTCCAGTACTTTGGCCACCTCAGGAGAAGAGAAGACTCCCCGGAAAAGACCCTGATGCTGGGAAAGATGGAGGGCGCAAGGAGAAGGGGACGACAGAGGGCGAGATGGTGGGACAGTGTTGTCGAAGAGACCAGCATGAGTTTGAACAGACTGCGGAGGCAGTGGAAGACAGGAGGGCCTGGCGTGCTCTGGTCCAGGGGGTCACGAAGAGGCGGACACGACTAGACGACTAGACACAAGGTTAGTGGGCTTCATTGCCTCCTGCAGAAAGGAGTTCCACAGCTCAACTACAAGCTGCGTCAAGTCGTCCTTCCTTTCACCAGTCCCAAATCTTCCAATGTCCAGCTTCCCCGGATGCCCGTGAGCTCTAGTGTTAGGAGGGAGAAAACCAATCCCTCCATGCCACGAATAATTTTTATAGACGCTTGCTGGTTAATTAGCAGCGGCTAGCCAGCCCGGGGGGCACCCACCTCCTTCGTCAGCTTCCCGATGCTCTTGTCCAGCAGGCGCTTCTCCTCCTCCAGCTCGGTCTTGGCCCTCTTGAGCTGCTCCTTCTGCGCCAGCTCCTCGTGGAGAGAGGCACTCAGGTCCTGGTGCTCCCGGGAGAGTCGGTTGAGGCTCCTCTGGGCGTCTTCCAGGCGGCTCTCCAGAGACCGCTTGACCAGAAGCAGCTCCTGTTCCTGGTCGGTGGCGTCCCCCAAAGACTCCTCCATCTGCTTGCGGTCGGACTGGGAATGGGGGGGACAACAGCGCAGGAACTCACATCAAAAAGGGAGACTGCGGTAGTACATAGCTCAAGAGATCTGCGGCTGCTCCTTCAAGTCCCTCTTACTTAAGGACGCGGGCATTTCGGATCAGTCCCTGTCCACCTACAGTTTAAGGCAGGCTTTCTCCACCTTGGGTTCTCGGATGTCCTTGGACTACCACTCCCATCATCCTGGATTGCTGCCCCTGCTGGCTATGGACGATGGGAATTTTATTCCCCCCCCCAATAAATTTTTATTATTTTATTAACACGGTTTTATAAAATACAGTGGTACCTCAGGTTAAGTACTTAATTCGTTCCGGAGGTCTGTACTTAACCTGAAACTGTTCTTAACCTGAAGCACCACTTTAACTAATGGGGCCTCCTGCTGCCGCTGCACCGCCGGAGCACGATTTCTGTTCTTATCCTGAAGCAAAGTTCTTAACCTGAAGCATTATTTCTCGGTTAGTGGAGTGTGTAACCTGAAGCGTATGTAACCTGAAGCGTATGCAACCCAAGGTACCACTGTACATCAAACCACATATATACTCTTAGCTCTGCCGAGCTTGTGACTTCCCTCCTTCCTTCAAAATTGCGTATTTTAATACTAAACCTCTTTATCTTTACACTGTAGGAGTTATTTCAATCCTGCCAGTGTTTTTAGAGTTTTACAATTATCCTTTAAATGCACCATAAATTTACTCCAACTTTCCTGGAATCTCTGATCATCCTGATCCCAAATCCTGGACAATAGGAATTGTAGTCCAACAACATCTGAGAACCCAAAGTTCAGAAAGCCCGGTGCCTCGGTTGTCGAACGGCTTGGCTCCCAAACAAATCGGCTCCCCAACACTGCAAACCCGGAAGCGAGTGTTCCGGTTTGCAAATGTTTTTTGGAAGCCGAATGTCCGGTGCGGCTTCCAATTGAGTGCAAGGAGCTCCTGCAGCCAAGCGAAAGCCGCGCCTTGGTTTTTGAACGCTTCCGGGAGTCGAACAGACTCCTGGAATGGATTAAATTTGACAACCAAGGTGCCACTGTAATAGTCGGCCTGGATAGGTCAGATGGTTAGGCAGGGGTCAGCAAACTTTTTCAGCAGGGGGCCGGTCCACTGTCCCTCAGACCTTGTGGGGGGCCGGACTATATTTTTTGGGGGGAAATGAATGAATTCCTATGCCCCACAAATAACGCAGAAATGCATTTTAAATAAAAGCGCACATTCTACTCCTGTAAAAGCACGCCGATTCCCAGACCATCCACAGGCCAGATTTAGAAGGCAATTGGGTCGGATCCGGCCCCCGGGCCTTAGTTTGCCTACCCAAGGGTTAGAGCATGGTGCTGATAATGCCACAGTTACAAGCTCAATCCCCATATTATTTTTATTATTTTTATTTACTGAATTTATATACCGCCCTATACCCAAAGGTTCCCAGGGCGGTTCACAGAACACAATCAAAAAATAAAACCCCATATTGGACAGCTGCATATTCCTGCACTGCAGAGGGCTGGACGAGATGGGCAGCTTTCGGCAAAATATAAAAGCAGAATAAAACACCAAACATTAAGAACTTCCCTATACGGGGCTGCCTTCAGGTGTCTTGCAGAAGGTCCCGGGGCTTAGCAAACTGGCGGCCAAGGGATCAATGATGGAAAACTTTTGTCTGGGTTGGGATACAGTTCCCCGCCACGGTGGGAAAATAAAGAGGCTTGCGAGAAACTGCGCCAAACTCTCCCTTGTGATCTTCTCCCACCCCACCCCGAAAGAAAGGTACCTCCAGTTTGGCAATCTTCTCCTTCAGCCTGGCCTCGGTCCCCTGCCAGTTGTCTGCAAAGTGCCTGTACTCCTTGATCTGAGTCTCCAGGCCAAGGATTTTCCGCCGAAGGTCGTCGTTCTCCTCCTGCGTCTCCCTCAGGGTAGACTCCACGGCCTTCTTCATCTGCTCGGTCGCCTCCTTCTCACCTTCCAAGGAGGACTTTACCTGGTGGTGGTGGGACGGAGGAAAGAGACAAATAGGTTAATATTAAAATTTTTAAAGAGTTAGGCGTTTAAGTTTTTTATTTGTACTTTTCAAATTTATACATTTCATTAATTTTACAATCCGTTCAATGTTTCAAAATTTGACCTCCTTCCCCCTCTTTCTGCGGTTCCTTAAATTGATTTTTTTCCTATCTTCTGCATATCCGTACTCATTTAATTTACTCATTTAATTATCTACTGTAAATAGATACTCTTATAAAACTGCAGGTTATCACAATAATCCTGCTAATGTTTTTATCTGTTTGCAATTTATCTGTAAATATTCAGTAAACCATTTCCATCACAATAATCCTGTCTTACAGGCCCTGTGGCAGGAAGTTAAATCCTGCAGGGCCCTGGTCTCATGGGACAGAGCATTCCACCAGGTCGGAGCCACCACTGAGAAGGCCCTGGCCCTGGTGGAGGATAATCTGACTTCCTTAGGGATGTTCTTATGTGACGGGTGGGGGGAGCTGGGCCCAGATGGATGCGCCACCCCATGCCCAAGGGCCAAACTTCAACAGGGGGGTGGGATCAGCCGCGTGTCAATCATCTGACATCACCGTGGGAACTCTGGGCAGGGAGCTGATTGCAAAGACACAAACACCCCGGCAAAAAAACACCAGGGATCCTTGCCTTGAAGGCCTCTTCATAATCCTTCTGTAGCTGCTGGACGTTCTGCTGGAACTGCTGCTTCAGCTCAGCCATTTCCTGGTCGTGGCTGCCCACTTCGTCCTCCAAAGCCTCTTTCAGGGCCAGCAGCTCCCTCTCCCGCTGGCGGAGGAGGTCGTCCTGGGCTTGCTTGGACAACGTCAAGTCTCTCAGCTGATCCCGGACCTCACGCAGCTCCTGCCAGGATGAGGGAAAAGGAGAGAATTAGAAAGCCACGCATGCACACACACAAATCCACAGAGCCGGGTGGAAGAATAGCAAGCATCCATCGTGGAAGAAAAGAGTTCTCGAGCTACAAGAGATCGGTATGACCATTAAATTAATAAATACAGTGGTACCTCGGGTTACATACGCTTCAGGTTACAGACGCTTCAGGTTACAGACTCCACTAACCCAGAAATAGTACCTCGGGTTAAGAACTTTGCCCTAGGATGAGAACAGAAATTGCGCAGCGGCAGCGGGAAGCCCCATTAGCTAAAGTGGTGCTTCAGGTTAAGAACAGTTTCAGGTTAAGAACAGACCTCCGGAACGAATTAAGTACGTAGCCAGAGGTACCACTGTACTAGGTAAAGGGACCCCTGACCATTAGGTCCAGTCGTGGCCGACTCTGGGGTTGCGGTGCTCATCTCCCTTTACTGGCCGAGGGAGCCGGCGTACAGCTTCCGGGTCATGTGGCCAGCATGACTAAGCAGCTTCTGGCGAACCAGAGCAGCGCATGGAAACGCCGTTTACCTTCCCGCCAGAGCGGTACCTATTTATCTACTTGCACTTTGATGTGCTTTCGAACTGCTAGGCTGGCAGCAGCAGGGACCGAGCAACGGGAGCTCACCCCGTCACAGGGATTCGAACCGCTGACCTTCTGATCGGCAAGCCCTAGGCTCTGTGGTTTAACCCACAGCACTAGAGTGAAACAAAAAGCTTCTGTGATAAGCCCCGCCTCCTTCTGCCCCTGGCCCCGCCCACAGAACCTTTGAACATTCCCCATAAGCCCACCCACAGTGCTGCAAGCCAGAGTCTGCCCTAGGAACCCCCATGAACTGAGCGCACCTTTCTGAGGGCGCTGGCCTCTCCGGAATCGCCAGCGCCGTTCCGGGCCTGATCCGCTTCCTGGCGCACGGCCGCGAAACGCTCCCTCAGCTCCTTCAGCTCCTCCTCAAAGTCCTCGCGTTCCACCTTCACCTGCAACAACCTGAAGGCGGTCGAAGGAAGGAGAGACAGAAACAGGAGGCATTTAATTGCGATTTGCTAAATTCGCACCCGCCCTTCCGCTAAAGGGAAGATAAGTGAAACATCTAAAACAGTGGTTCTCAACCTGTGGGTCCCCAGATGTTGTTGGACTACAACTCCCATCATCCTTGAGCTCTGGCCTTGCTAGCTAGGGGTGATGGGAGTTGTAGTCCAACAACATCTGGGGACCCACAGGTTGAGAAAGGCTGATCTAAAAGCTGCTAGGACAGATGTTCCTATGGGGGGCAGTGAGAACACCTAGGGGGCAGTGTGCCACACTGGCGTGGCAGGAGATGGCGGCAAGTGTGGCATGAAGAGTCAAGGGCAATCAAGGAAACATTTAAACCTTTCAGTGTAGTGTAGTATCAAAATATTTGGGTATTTTTTTAATTTGCAGAATAGGAATAGATATTCAAAAGCATTGGCTATCCTCCCAGAGTTCTCCACGACATATTGTTTCGAACAGGGGTTTTCAACTCTGACAAATACCAAAGGTCAGAAAAGACAAAGGCTCCTTTGTGCTGACGAGGAGATGAGAGTTTCTCTGTCTCAAATCAAAGCGCTGTCTAGGCAGCCCCTCCCTAAAAGGCTGAGGCACAAATGCAGGACGCACCAGCGACCCACACGCTGCCTTGTGCATAAAAATCAATTGGCTCAATTTTTAAAGATTTGGGGAGGAAACGGGGAGGACGGGACAACTCACTCCTGCTTGGTGCTTCGCAGCTCATCCTTGTTCTTCTGGAACATCTCCTTCCAATGGGCGGCCTCTTCGCCGCTCTCCTGCAACTCCCTCTGCAGATTCCTCACCACGGTGTTGATCTTCTGCCTCTCCGACTCCAGGCTGGCCTGATCCTGGCGAGAGACGAGGAGAAGCAAAGCTACGATTTCCCCCACGTGCAAAAGCAGGCTGGCGCTTGAACCTTGCGGCAAAAGGCAGCGCCGTCTAGCAAAGTTGGCAGGATAGCTTGGACGGCGCATGTGTGCGCTATGCACAGCTCTGGACTCAAACAGATGGGGAAGCGGCCCAGGAGATAATAATAATAATAATAATAATAATATTATTATTATTATTATTATTATTATTATTTATTATTTTTACCCCGCCCATCTGGCTGGGTTTCCCCGGCCACTCTAGGCGGCTTCCACAAAGACCAAAAAAACACTAATATGTCATACATTAAAAACTTCCCTGAACAGGGCTGCCTTCAGATGTCTTCTGAATGACAGGTAGTTAATTTATTTATTTATACCCCACCCATCTGGCTGAATTTCCCCAGCCACTCTGGGCAACTCCCAATCAAGGGTTAAAAACAATAAAGCATTAAATATTAAAAACTTCCCTAAACAGGGCTGCCTTCAGATGTCTTTTAAAGAGAAGGTAGTTGCTTATTTCTTTCACATCTGCTGGGAGGGTGTTCCACAGGGCGGGCGCCACCACCAAGAAGGCCCTCTGTCTGGTTCCCTGCAACCTCACTTCTCGCAATGAGGGAACCGCCAGAAGGCCCTCGGCACTGGATTTCAGTGTCTGGGCAGAACGATGTGGAGAGTTCACGTAAAAGCAGACATGAGGGTCTAAGTCTTGCCACCGAGACTGTGGGTGAGGGCCCATAACCTGATATCCCTGCACACAGAAAACTAGCATGTCAAGGAGAGGACAGGCCGCTTCTCCCTGATGTGCTAGATTTCTAAGTGCGAGGGGCTTCGTTCTCATTCACAGAAAGAAAGCCATCTACGTGGGCCTCCCATCTGCAACTGGAGATGGCAAAGCTCGACAGCCGGTGGACGCACACGCTCCCCTCGCGTGCATTTCGCAGAGAGCTAGCTAGGCTGCAATTCTTGGAGGGCCCTGCAGGGAAGTGTGCTCAGCCAGGCTCACCTGCGACACGTCCTCCATGTTGCGCCGGAGCTGCTCCATGTCGTGCTGGTACTCCTGCCGCACCCGGTCCAGCTCCCGGTCGTGACTGGCCACCTCCTCCTTCAGGGCCCCCTTCAGGGCCGTCAGCTCCCTCTCCCGCTGGCGCAGGTGGTCCTCCAACTTCTGCCGGGCCCTCAGAACCTCCTCCAGCTCCTCTCTGGTCTCCAGCAGCTCCTGGGGAAAGAGGGCAGAACTGGCTCTCAACCCATCGGCTCAGCCTTGCCAGGCCGGCTCCATCAGGCACCTTCTGGCACTGAATTGGACCAGCGTTTAGAGCTTGACTTTTTCCTCTTCCCTCCGTGTCCCTTTTTCCTTGTGTGTTGTGGTTGTTGAGTGGTTGTTGTTTTTAAGATTATAAGTTTGATTATAAGGGACTGTCAAACATAAGCCACTCTGCTAGCCATTTTGGATGAAGAGCAAGGGTGAAGGTAAAGGGACCCCTGACCATTAGGTCCAGTCATGGCCGACTCTGGGGTTGCGGCGCTCATCTCGCTTTACTGGCCAAGGGAGCCGGCGTACAGCTTCCGGGTCATGTGGCCAGCAGGACTAAGCCGCTTCTGGCGAACCAGAGCAGCGCATGGAAACGCCCTTTACCTTCCCGCCGGAGCAGGACCTATTTATCTACTTGCACTTTGATGTGCTTTCAAACTGCTAGGTTGGCAGGAGCAGGGACCGACCAATGGGAGCTCACCCCGTCACGGGGATTCGAACTGCCGACCTTCAACAAGTCCTAGGCTCTGTGGTTTAACCCACAGCGCCACCCGCGTCCCATGAAGAGCAAGGGTACAAATGCTCTAAATAAGCAAATAAATAATTTGCAAGACAAAGCCTGCGTCCCGTTGGAGTTTTTCTTAGAACAGGGGTGGGCAACTTCAGGCACAGATAACCTAACTGGCCCTCAGGAATCTCCCCAGGCCACATCCCATTTCATCCTCACAAACAACTCTGTGAAATAGGTTAGGGCAAAATACAACGATTGGTCCAAGATCATACCTAAGCGAGCTTCATAGCTGAGAGGGATTTGAACTCTGGTCTGCCAGGCCTGGGGGAACCTTTTGCCTTCCAGATGCCGACCAACTACAACTCCCATCAGCCGCTGCAACATCTGGAGGGCCAAAGATCCCCCACACCTGGCCCTTGTCCAACACTCTTAACCACAAAAGTGGTTTTGCGCGTCTTCCTATACACATAAAAATGTAAGGTTGTCGTTGTGATAGGAATTTTGAGGTCTTAGATATATAATAAATGTTCATAAATGTACCAACCAAGCACGTACATAGATCAGCACAGGAAGACCGACCTGGAACCATTTTGATTCCTAAACTGAGCAAATGTTTTCTCTGCAAGGTCAAAGTGGGAAACCTCCCCATTGTCTCTTTCCTCACAGATCCTCTCTTAAGGGCACATTTAAGATATGAATAGGGTGTAAGCCTGTGACCTGGCTCAGGAACTAAGTATTTATCACTACAAAAGACTGGCCAGGCTCCCCAGGCAATCCAATCAAGTGACCTGCCAGTCAGGAGATAAACAACGACAGGAGAAAAACAACATTCAAACTTCTGTTTAGACGGCCTTTTCTGTGATGTATGTATGATGTTTCTGGGGGTGATCTTGATCTACAGGGTGGCATTTTCAAAAGTCTTGATAAGGTCTTGCATGCCATTGTTCTGGGTTCCTCCTCCTTTCCTGCGTGTGAGGGGAGCACCCTGTTGCAACAGATCAATAAAGACCAGGCTTACGAGCTGCTTTGCTTCTCAATATTCTCTGCTTGGCCTCTGTTATTCTCTCCTACCAATAGGGAACCTATGTAAGGACTCTATATGGGCTCTTGGGTACCCCATAAGAGGAAAGGGCAATTTTTATTTACAACATCGTCATGCAGCAAGAGCTGTTCAATCGTGGAATGGACTCTCTCGGAACGCGGTGAACTCTCCTATGCTGGAAGTTTTAAATGCAAAATTGGGAGGAGGGGCACCTGTCAGGAATTACTGAGCTGTGATTCCTGCATTGCAGGGGTTAGCCTAGATCAGGGGTCTGCAACCTTTAAGACAAAAAGAGCCACTTGGACCCGTTTCCGAAGAAAAAACAACAACTGGGAGCCGCAAAACCATTGCGACATTTAAAACAAATATGTTAAGTCGTGGGTTGACATAGCAGCCGGCACAGCGATTTCTTCAAGTAGCTCTTTATTATGGTAAGCTGGAATAGAACTGACTGCGAACAGCTCAGCCGGCCTGTATTTATAGGCAGCCGGCTGTCAACATTGTAACCACAACAGCCCAGAGTTCCCGCCTAAAATAACTGCCGCGGACCTGAGTGAAAACTATCTACAGACCTGAGTGAAAACTATATACAGTATCCCCCTGTTGGCCCAGGGTGAAACTACACTACATAACACCCCTCCCCACCGAGATAAGGCGTTAGTTACAATCGTAATGGTTTCCTTATATACAGCACTACGCGTAATGGTTCAATTAAGCACAAAAGCATATCGGTTACATTTCCCATACTTAGACCAACAGTGATACCTGTCCAACAACATAGTCCTTTAAATAAGTTGGGCGCTTGGAAACTCTGCCAGACCGCCGGGGACTGGTAGCCAAGTCCGGAGGGCCACACAGTTCTCGCTGAGGCTGTGGTGCAACCCTAGGTGGCGTTGGAACCAACTCCCCTGGATCCGCTGCTGTGAGTGGAGCCTCCGCAAGTGGAGTGGTCTGAGTCTGTTTCTGAAACGGCTTGGTTCGGCTCCACGCTGGCAGTTTGCGAGGGAGGTGTAGGTGGGGCCTCGCCATCTGTACGTGTCTCTTCTGGAGCCGCAAGCGCAGTTGGGGGCACCTCGGCAGTGTCCAAGTCCCCAACCCTGCGCCTAAGCTGGTCTATGTGCCGTCGCCAGTGTTAAGTCGTGGGTTGACATAGCAGCCGGCACAGCGATTTCTTCAAGTAGCTCTTTATTATGGTAAGCTGGAATAGAACTGACTGCGAACAGCTCAGCCGGCCTGTATTTATAGGCAGCCGGCTGTCAACATTGTAACCACAACAGCCCAGAGTTCCCGCCTAAAATAACTGCCGCGGACCTGAGTGAAAACTATCTACAGACCTGAGTGAAAACTATATACAGTATCCCCCTGTTGGCCCAGGGTGAAACTACACTACATAACAAAATATATCTCCGGAGCCGCGATCTGACAGCGGGCGGGAAGGTGACGTCGGGACGGTGCGTGGCTAATGCACGCACCGCCCCCATGCTTCGTCACAGCCAGTACAGCGCCCGCCACAGTGAGGAGTGTCGGGGTGCACAATGCGCCTCCGCCCCTCACTAGTATCCGCCCCGGAGCCGCGGCAAAGATGTAAAAGAGCCACATGCGGCTCCAGAGCCGCGGGTTGCAGACCCCTGGCCTACATGATCCCCAAGGTCCTTATACCCCTACAACTCTGTGATGCTATTACACCGGCACGTTGCGAAGCTATGCAGAGGCTCCATCCAGAGAGCCACTTACTTTCAGCAAAGCATCCCTGTCCGGAGAATCTCCCATCGGCTCCCGGAACCGGTCCAGCTCCTCCTGCATCTCCATCAGCTGGTCTTCCAAGTCGGCCAACTTGGCTTCTGTCTCTTCCTTGATGGTTTTCACGTCCTTCAGCCTTAAGAATCAGGAAGGAGGAAAGAGAAGGGAGTGGGAGTTCATCTTAACTGTGCGGGTAGGGCTAGAGGCGTTAATAATAAATATAATAAATATAAATAAATAATAATAATAATAATAATAATAATAATAATAATAATAATAATATATTTATATCCCACCCTCCCCAGCCAAAGCCGGGCTCAGAGCGGCTAACAACAATAAAAGTAACACAGCATTCTGAAACCAATTCATTCTAAAATCAATTCAAAATCAAATTAATGGCAACCATTGGGCTAGAGTTCTATGAGGATTACCAAAGGAGGGGGTCAGACTGTGCCTTGGCCAAAGGCCTGGTGGAACAACTCTGTCTTGCAGGCCCTACGGAAAGATGTCAAGTCCCGCAGGGCCCTAGTCTCTTGCGACATAGCGTTCCACCAAGTCGGGGCCACAACCGAAAAAGCCCTGGTTGAGGCCAGCCTAACCTCCCTGTGGCCCGGGACCTCCAAAATGTTTTTGTTTGCAGACCGTAAGGTCCTCCGAGGGACATACCAGGAGAGGCAGTCCCGTAGGTCCGAGGGTAACTATCAGACTTTTAAAAGCCGGCATGACTTGATCAAGTTCAATTTTGTCAAATCAATTACGCCAAACAAGTTTCCATTGGATCGCAATCATTGCTAGTTTTGAACTTGATTGTGTTGCTGTTATCATCTTCCTTAGTGGGACGTGCAAGCCGCTAGTCTGAATAATGCTTTTTGTAGGGTTGGGGACCACTGGAGTAGAGGATTAAATCAAAGTCCTTCTGCTGTGTCCTTGCCTACAAAGTTTATTCACCCCGTGAGCTATATAGAGCCTGCCAATACAAGTGTCACTGAGACTGCAAGTGACACAGGCAAGTGTGATGGCCTGGGACTCAGGCTCAGACTCGGAGCCAGAGGAGTCTCAGTCTGCACCGGACCCTTTGCCTCAGGCATCATCTGAACCAAGTCTGGGGCCTGATCCTGAAGAGTCCCAGTCTGCACAGGTTCCCTGCAACAAGCACCAGCTGGGCCGAGTCAGGGGCCTGATCCTGCCCTGGCTCCAGATGCGGGGATTCCCTCGTCGCCTCCAGCTGGGCCATCGCTTACAGCTGCTCCACTACCGGTTGGGTCAAGGGAGGCTGAGGCGGCCTCTGGGTCTAGTAACCCACCGACGTCTCCCGAGCTGCAGAGACTGAGGTCTGAGAGAAGGAGGGACCTGAGTACTTGCAGGAGGAGTGCTTGCCTTCGGGCGAGACAGGGAGGTGAGTCACCAGGGGATCAGGACCGGCCGTTATCCCGACAGATAAAAGGCTGTCAGAACCTTGCCCCAGGTTGCGGGAGCAACGTTGCTGTTTGCCAGAACCTGCCTGTGATCCTGTACCTGACCTTGACTGGTTTCCTGCCTTGGTGTCCTGTCGGACTGACTCCTTGCGGAACCCTTGGATTCGGGACCGGACCTGGACCGCGTCACTCGGGCTACCCCCGGGCCCAGCACAGTGAGGCTGCATTGGCGGCGACAGTGGCAAGAGCTGCGATTCGGCCGCAGCCAACTCTGCTCCCCCTCCCCCAACCCTCTGGATCCAGAAACGGCAGATCCGGACGCTGCGGCTGGAGCTCAAATTCCACCTCTTTCACCCAGGTGCTATGTGATATATTTCTACCCTTTCCTCCTGGGAGCCACCTGGTGGTGGTGGCGGGCCAGAGGCAAAAGTGGGAGGCAACACATGCAAATTTTTACCTCTGTGCAGCAGCCCCGCCTCCTCTTTTCCCCAAGAGTATTATGTACAGTACAGTATATCCTTTTTTACTGTAAGTCGATTGGAGACGTTCAGGTGACAAGATCCCACCTGGAAGGAGGGCAGGATTCAGGTGCGACCTGGGGGTCTTGAGATCTGGAGGGAAGGGTGGGCTTTGGCAACTTAACCTCAGGGGGAGGGTTTCCCCCCCAAAAAACCCCCACCCCCCCCCAGATTTGCACTGTACTCTTGGACGCTTGCCCTGCAGTTCTTGGCTTTTTCTCTCAAAGGCCACCCGCAGCCGGTGGCACTCCTTCTTCCGACTCCTCCAGCTTGGACCTCCAGGTCATGGGGGGCGCCGCTCCTGTGGGCCGTTTTTGCAACACTCCAACCTCTGACGGAGCTGCAATGGGGGGTGAAAGAAAGAAAATAAAATAGGCCCAGAATGCCACCATCTACAGGTTTTTTTTTCCAGATGTTCCGGCATTACCCAGAAGCCTCTGCTTCCCCAGCTTGGATGGGAAGGCGTGACAAAGATGGCGGCCGCAGACCCACTGACTGGGGAGCAGTGGGGAGGGGAGGAAAGAGCAGAGACCCCAGGCACCTAACCCCAGTATTGTCTACACTGACTGGCAGCAGCTATCCGGGGTTTCAGGCAGGGGACGCTCCCAGGCCTACCTGGGGGTGTTGAGTATTGAACTCGGGGCCTTCTGCACGCCAAGTGCTCTACCACCGACCTACATGCTGCATTTTAGACATACCATATTTTTCGCTCCATAAGACGCACTTTTTCCCTCCTAAGAAGTAAGGGGAAATGTGTGTGCGTCTTATGGAGCGAATGCAGGGGGGAGGCAGGCAGGAAAAGCCCCCAAGAGCCGCACACAAGCTCCGTGCGGCTCTTGCGGGCTTTTCCCCAGGAGGGAGAAGGGACTGATGCGGCCAGTCAGTCCCCTCTTCCTCCTTGTAGAAAAGCCCGCAGGAGCCGTGCGCTCCTTAAAGGGTGCGCGGCTCCTATGGGCTTTTGTGGGAGGTGGGGGTATTGCTATAGCCGCACACAGCCCCTCTGGCCGGGAGAGGCTGCATGCGGCTATGGCAGAAACCAAGACAGAAGCTGTCTTGGCTTCTTTGCTCTTTGGGGCGGGGAGGATAATTTTCTCTCTCTTGATTTCTCCCTCTAAAAACTAGGTGCGCCTTATGGTCCGGTGCGCCTTATGGAGCGAAAATACGGTATGTGTTAAGTTTCTAGTCCTTGTGCTCAGACCTTTTAGCCTTGAGCTAAAAGAATGACGCTGGCTTAAAAAAAATTAAGTGGTTTACAGCTGTAAGGGTTAAGTTAAAAGAAAAAGAAAGGTTACAAACTAGACAAAATTAAGAGTAAGGATTTGCTGAACTAAAAATTTTGAACAGGAATGTAGAAAGGGGAGGTATGGGGAAGTCGGTGAAGTAAGTTATAAGAAAATAAGGATTTGAAAGTATACTTGTTATTTGATTTGTGTTTGTCTGTGTTTTTATGTATGTCTATAAAATTTGTGAAATCTTAATAAAAATTTATATATAAAAAAAAGTTTCTAGTCCTTGTGGTTTTAAGGAGACGGCTGCACTAAATGGGAACAGAGGAAGCTGCGTTGTACTGAACCAGCCCCTTGGCCCATGCAGCTCAGGGCTGCCCGACACTGGCTGGCAGAAGCAGGGGACATTCCTAGGGCTACCTGACGACACCTGGGGCCTTCTACATGCAAAGCAGGTGCGCTGCCCCTGGAGACACAGCACCTCTCTACCTAAAGATAAGGGCAAGACTCCGGTCCTCATGTTTCTGAATTGAGGGCTGATTCTAAACAGGGAACAGGAGACACTCCTTTTTTCCGGGAGACTGAATCTGGGACCTCCTGCCTGCAAGTCCGGAAGGAGAACAATGGCCCCATGTGTTCTGTTTCTTGTTGTTTTGTATTTTGAGGACCGTGTCCTCAGGGAAAAGACAATACAGGTGAGACTCTTGTTCCAACAAAAGGGGAAGAGGTGCTGTTGCAGGAATTTATGTATAGTTGGGGGGGGGGTTGCCCCTCCAGCAGATCTCATGCACACGCAGCCCACTACCGAAACCAGCACAATCACTTTTGTGACTTTTGTGATTTGTCCCCACAAAACACTTCATCGCAGTTTCTTCCTATCTATTCAAAGGGCCTCTGCTGCACAATACCAAACGTAAGAATTCACTGATAAATGTATCTATGTACTGGCTCACTGGGAAAACTTCAGAAATCCATATAGACACGTGAGCTCAGCTACTCAGCAGCCCCTCTGCTGAAGGGATAATCCGTGGCATCCTGATACCTGAGTGCCAGACATGTAGCCATTCCAGAAACAACAAACCCAGATGAAGACAAAAGGGTGTGATTAACTTGGCTGGAAAACAGGGAAATGTAAATATCTCTTTGTTCCACTTGATGGGTGTTTGGTGGAGGGCAAGGGGAAC